TCCTATCAATATGGGCCAACATTTCTAAAGAATGCTTTCAGCACCTTGTTGAATCAATGCCACGTAGAATTAAGGCAGTTCTGAAGGCGAAAGGGGGTCAAACACCGTATTATTATGGTGTTCCTAATAATCCTTTAGGTGAGTGTATATGGCCATACTAACATAATATTATAACAACCAAATTTTATCTAAGTAAAAAAAATGAACTATCTTCATCATGTAGCATTGAACGCCTACGCTCCTGGATAACTTTCACAGTAGTAGGTCAAATGAACAAAAACAAGTACAGCTACTAAGGTGCTTTTCAGAAAAGCATCATGTGGCCACTTAAGCCTCTGGGGTCAAGTGCATCATCAGCAATGCAGCGTATTTTTCGCGTCTATTTCAGTTTATATCTCGCTGAAATCTTTATTTAGAATCATGGAAAAAACGCTGACTAAACCTGTAATGTGATCGCTATTCACATTCTAAATAGCCGCATTAGCGCATATTCAGATCGCATTCGCATGCTAATTTGATGAACAACGCAACGGTGAAACGCAATCCAGATACATCTCCATCAGCGCCATAAAAGGGGGGGAGGATGTGGCCAGGTGTGAATGGCTCATGCATACACATGAGAGCTCCTACATATTCAATGTAAGGAGGCCAGAAATAGACACGTGACTTAGGTTTTTCTTATTTATTTATCCAACTGAATGTTGCAACTACACCATTTAGTTATCTTCATGTAGCCAAGACTTGGTGATCAGATATCTGGGATCAAAACAAACTGGCAGCATTGCTTACTATGTACTTTTATAATATTTATGCAATTGTTCCAAACTGCATTTTACAATGTCTATATTTTGATGTCAAATTACAAACTTAACATAAATCTGACATATTTACAATATCCAAATTAAAATTAAGATGACTGTAATGCCAAAACAAATATATAAGAAATAACTGATTTGCTATGAATTAAGTTTATGATATTTAAAGAAATGTGTGATCATGTGATCATGCCCCAGTCAGTGAAAGTGTGTTCCCTACCCCTAGACCCCAGAGGGTTAACAGTGGATTTTGTGAACTATATCCAATACCTTACCCATTTTTACTCTGCTATAGAGAATAACAGCCTCGCACTACCACGCTGTGGAATAATTTCTTGAGGTATGTGTGGTATTTCGATGTCCTGTTGTGAGTCTCTGTTGTGTGTCCTGCAGGGAATCAAGGTGCTGTGGGTTTAGCAGGAGAGGATGGCTACCCTGGGTCCTCTGGCTTCAGTGGACAAAAGGGTGTCCCAGGAGATCCAGGCCAGCCAGGGCCGTTGGGTACGTGGTTAGGCGCCGGTGCTATGAGGTATTGATGTCTTTGGTCTGAACAGATTGTTCTGATGGGTTGGTGTATATGCATAATTGTTTTGAGCTACTTGGAGTTTTGCCTGCTTTTTTTGTTCCTTAATGTCTGTTATGCTAGATGTGTGCAAGTACATTTATATTCTATTTTCCAGTCATGTGCACATGCGTTCCATTTCATCACTAATGACGCTTTGTTCTTCCGGCTTGAATGACCTGCAGGAGCCCCAGGGTTGCCTGGTAGTCAGGGTCTCCCAGGTCCTCAGGGGCGTCCAGGGCTAGGAGGCGCTGCTGGCTTTCTGGGAGCTTCAGGAACACGGGGCCAGAAAGGTCTGGACCGACACTTTAAATGTTGAATTATATAGGAAAAAAGGTTAATTAAATATAGTCTATGGTTGGATATCTATATATTCTTTCCCTTGGAAAGGATTTCCTGGACCTCCTGGACTTGATGGTCTAAATGGACTTGGGGGGCCAAAGGGACCCACAGGAACCCCAGGTGAGTGACTGCCCCTCCCCCCATTTGTAAGGCTACTGGGATTCAGGATTAGCTATGTCTGTGTAAGTGTAGTGACCTGCTACAGCTAAATGAAATTCAAATCCGCCTTCCTGCCTCACTGTGTCAGGTCTGGACCTCGAGGGCCGGCCAGGCTCCCTGGGTTTTCCTGGCCAGAAGGGGGATAGAGGTTCTCCTGGGTTTGGAGCACTAGGCCTGCCAGGAGAGCAAGGTCTCAAAGGAGAGCCAGGTAACTGTGTAGGATAAAATGCCTAAAATCACCTAATATTCACTCACATGAGTTGCTCATTTCTCAGCAAAGCATGTTTTTGAATTATAATTGGATCTTTTCTTTCTCAGGTGTTCCTGGTCAGCCTGGACTTCCTGGTCGCCTTGGTCTACCAGGGACCAGACCACTCTCCAGCATCCCAGGCCTTCCCGGAAGCACAGGCTTGCCAGGATTAGATGGGGAACCAGGTGCATGACATTAACTTCTCATTCTCAGGAGGATAACCTTTTTAAAATTTAGCCTTTCCTCCTTCAGCTTCTTTCCCTCCCATCCGTAATGGCCAGACTCTTTCCTCTTTCCAGGTTTTCGCGGTCCCCCTGGGCCACCAGGCCCTCCAGGTTCAGGTACAGCACAAGGTGACAGGGGAGATCCAGGATTCCCTGGCTTTCCTGGAGTACTGGGCCCCCGTGGTGATCCCGGCCCTAATGGATCTCCAGGGCTGTATGGTGGTCAGGGGCTCAAGGGTGAGAAGTGATAAACTTATTGCTTGGCAGGGTACAGGATTGTATGCTTTTCTTTTTTAGGTTAACTTAACAGTTAAGTCATATATGTAGAAATGCACATCTTGGTTTTAGAGGAATGAGAATTTGATCACTTTCTAAGCATTTAATCAGTTTTCATGGTTTTATTGGGTTTCACGCTACTCTGATTCTGTGTGCCTTAGGTGAGAGAGGAGACCGTGGGCTCAGTGGCCTCCCAGGACCAGAGGGCTATCCTGGAGACCCCGGCTACTTTGGGGCCAAAGGACAAAAAGGGCAGAAAGGTGGTGATGTCTTTTGTTATGAATTTGCAGAGAATAGCATTTCTCCGTATCACAGGCAGTGGCATATGCACTGTAAAGGAGAAAAAAATTGCCAGTTTGTATCTTTGAGGGTACAATTATTTGTCACTGGGACCTCAAGGGTCTGCCAATTGTACCCTAGCATTTAAGGGTACATTGACCCTACCCAAGGGTAAATGTTCCCTTTAAGGTATATAAATTGACTTTTTGTACACTTGTTTCTCTCTTGGGGGACTAAACTCTACCAAGGCTGTTGCCGTTTTACTGACTGTTACTTTCTCTCCCACAGGTCACCCTGGCCCGAAGGGCCCCCCCGGGATGCCTCCTCTTAACATCCATGTCGACCTGCCTAAAGGCCCACCGGGCCCCCCAGGTGAAAGAGGGCAGATGGGTCATCCTGGACAACCAGGCCTACCAGGTCCAGTAGGTGAGATGAAGTTTCTGGCCACCGCAGCTTTTACGTTTCCTTATGGTGGCTTTTGTGGTGAAAAATAAGTAATTCTGCAATGGAATAAGTAAAATTGCAATGGAAACAGAATTTGCTAATGAATAGTGTAGCGTGTAGGACATAAGATAACATAATACAGTGGTACCTGCAGTTCACGAACACAATCCGTTCCAGGAAAGTGGTCGCAAACCAATTTGTACGCAAACCAAGGCAATTTTTCCCATAATAAAGCATTGAAGTCCGATTAATTTGTTCACAAACCGACCAAATAATAATTTTTATTAATAAATTTTCTGGCTTTTATAGTAAAGACTTTTAAGAAAAACACAATATAGTGTGGTGACGGGAGGACCAAGGCATCGCAGGAGCAGAGAGAGACATGGAGACTTGCCTGCTGGGGAAATCACACTTTATATTAATAGTCCTTAAAGCTCTTGTATTCTTGTTGTTATTAATGTTAATGGTTGTATTTTCCTACTGTTGCACGTCTGTTTGCCCGTGTCTTTTGTGTACCCGGTCCGATCCTCGCGTGTATTTAGCATATGTAAATCTTCCACCGTGTGTGCATCGCGCAGTTCGGCGTCTGACAACCTTGTTTCCCATCTGTGTATTTGGGTTTGGTACTCATTGGGTGCCTGTTGTGGTCCTTCTACTTACAATTTCACGCGGGGCATGCTGGTGCTACACTTGTATAAAAAAGTAATCTGGTCGAGGAATCTGTTCATCTACCAAATTTTGTACGCAAACAATGCAATTTTTTTCACAAAATTTTTGGGCGCAAACCAAATTATTCATAGGCCACAGCGTTCGTGAACCGCAGGCACCACTATAGTTAGTTGTTGGAAAGCCTGCTCCATGTTTAAGTATGAGACATGGATCTTAATTTCGCAGGATCATAAATGGCAAGTATTATCCACAATTTAACCTTGTCAATTTAGAAAATTTGATTATAATTTGTGTGTAACTTTAATGAATACCTAGCTTCTGTTCTGAATTCATCACTGCCATTTATCACCAAACTGGTACATTCAGACATATGATCTTATTCTTGTCAACCTGGCAATGTTCAAAGCACATTTTTAATGTGGTGAGTACTATGAAGTGACAGTTACTAAGTGGCCTATCATGCGCACAGGCCTGAAAGGCAGAAGTGGTCTCCAAGGCAAGCCGGGAGCCAGTGGACCTGAAGGCTTACCAGGGCCCAGGGGAGACCTTGGCATACCTGGTTTTCCGGGACAGACTGGGGAGCAAGGTAAAGAGCCAGAACCGGACTCTAACACAGGCAGTACCTTCTCTATCATTTGTTATATATAACATAACCCTTGAAATGACCAAACACTAAGAGCCCATCAGACCAGACATACCTTTGATGTCACCGTGTGTCTGTGTCCACTTTTCCCTGAACTTCTGCCAGGCTTTTAATGTCCCCCCCCAGAGGTGGAAAGTTCAGGTCCAGAAAGTACAAATCCAGACCAAGGTTTTGTTTTAACCAGCCGTTGAGTACTTTGTGATTGTAACTCTTTATACTTAACTGCTTGGTTGAAACAAAATTTTGGTCTGGATTTGTACTTTCTGGACCTGAACTTTCCACCTCTGATCCCTCCCCCCTTTGCTGTGCCAACCTCTGCTCTCTCTTTCAGGTTCCCCTGGCAAACAGGGCCTCCCTGGCCCCCCCGGTATTTCGGCACGCAGCAGCAATGTCGGCTACACGCTGGTGAAGCACAGCCAGAACAGCCAGGTGCCGCCATGCCCCCAGGGCATGAGCCGGCTGTGGGAGGGCTACAGCCTGCTGTATGTGGAGGGCCAGGAGAAGGCCCACAACCAGGACCTCGGTTAGTATGCTGAGTGCCACCATAGCATAGGAGGCTAGGAGAAGGCCCACAGAGAGAACCTCAGTTAGTATGATGAGTATGTTGCTATAGCACAGGGGCCAGGAGAAGGTCCACAGACAGGACCTCTGTTAGCCCTCTGAAGTCGGCGATCACGCCGGCAGGATCTGACAGAAATTTCGCCAACCAGTTTAAATAACTCTGCGACATTTTGTCATATACACATTTAAAGAACACCCTCAGAAACCTTGGACGGTCTACTTTTCAAATATATATAGGTAGAAACTAAATATACTTTTACAGCTTCGTGATACGAATAGAAAGAACGAGTGACTGACTTAACTCTCTGGGGTCGAGTATGTCGTCGGCGACATCGCGTACTTTTCGCGTCTATTTCAGTTTATATCTCGCTGAAATCATTATGTAGAATCATGAAAAAGACACTGACTAAATCCATTATCTGTCTTCTTTTCAAAACTTCCATTGTTGGAAGTATTAAAGTTTTTTAGGTTAGGTTAAATCACCAAAAAAGTAAACCATGTCACCTTTCTTTGTTTTACCTGCATTGGGGGCGTATAGTACCGCTCTCAAATGAA